CGTATCTAGGCACGGCAGGTCTGTGGCTCTTCCGCATGCCGAACTCGTGTGCATCGAGCTCTTTATGAGAGCAATACTCGCCATTTAAAGAGTTTGGAGAAGTGTTTTTTTTTTAGCCTTTCCAAAAACACAACAGCATGAGAGTAGGCAATTGATTAAACTGTGTGTCTAAAGTGCTGCAGTCCTCCATATGAGCAGATCATAAACTAAATCAGTTTGTGGGTTTCCATGTTACGTGAGAAAAAGTTCATCTACGAGTAGCTTGTTCTCTATTTAGTGTTTCGTAAGTGTGTGTAGGCCGGACCTGGATGCTATCAAAGTTTAGGGTCAGTTCTGTCCTGCTATTTGTAAGTGTGTACTCCAGAAACCTCCGCCAACCTTAGCTGTTAGGTTTTCCTTTTCTCTCAAATGTGTATTTTCAACAGTATGTTTTTGCTCATAACAAGTATTTAAGCTAAGCAGGGTTTTGTTAGGAGTTAAAAGAGAGAAAATTGTGGAAATGTCTACCAACTGAATTGAAAGTGCATTCATGTTTTTAATAGTGGTATTAAATATTGTTACTGTAGACATTGTTGCATGTTTTATAGCATGTCTTCTATATGGTTCATCAACTGGTGAGGATGCTGATATTTTGCCTGATATCATGTATGTAGCTATATTGAAGACCCCTTTTTACAAGAATCTCGTTTTAAAGCGAGTCCGCTGGACATAAAACGATCAGGAGACGGCATTCTCAACCAATTCATGAAGCCAGTTAGCTATGTTAGCCAGTACGGCCACGTCTGATCAAGCATCGTCTACCTGCATCTGAAATCAACGAGGCATTGTTTCAAAAGTAGAGTACGGATTTCAAGAGGCAAACCTGCAGCAGTAATCTTTGTCAACTGCAGGCTTGACTGGCTACTGTCAGCCACGACATCATGGGGGAAATGGTAATATCATTAAAAGCAAGTTAACAGTTTAACCTAACAGTTTTTCTGTCTTTATTTTTCTCCTAATATCCAGTTGAAGTCAACTTAATGCAAAAAGAAAGGCTGTGGGGAAAAAGAAAAAGCCTTCTGATGTTTCAATGGAGCAGACGTTCCAAGTCATTAAGTCATCACACATTAAGAGCTTTTGCTGTGAAAAATGACTCTTGAATACAATTTTTCTGACATGGAGTAAGGATACAAAAGGGGTTTTCATTTTTAAACCTGCTCAGTCGATCTGAAAGCATGCTCAAAATGAAGCTGAAGAATGTACAAATCCCTTTATTTCTCATTTAATGTAAATATAGAAAGGGGAATATGAATAATAGGGTTCAACTCCTTAGGTACGGAAGGTCCTTCTAGACAACTAGCTTCTGTAAACATCCCATATTTTTTCTCTCACATGTCAGAATTCAGAAAGTCCCGTAACCTTGAATCATTCTTGCCGTCAGTGAGCAGAAAGCTGATGGGACCTGACGGGTCACTCACATCAGTGGAGCGCCGGTGCCCTCGGGATTGAGAGATGTATCACGGGGCAGGAGCTCTGCCGTGCATGTGAAGGGCCTCCAAAATCAAAGGCAGGCCTCAAAGGGTTGTCTTTGCGGGTGTCCTTGATTACATAAAAATCACAGATTATGTAGGTTGAGCATGCCAAGGAGTTTACGCATGTACACCTCAGCCGTGATACGCTGCCGACGTTCTGAGGCTAAACTACATGAGGCACAATCTTTCTGTCTGTCTGCATCAGTGCTGAGGTGCCGGAGACCAAAAAGCGCTCAAGGCACGGTGAAACTAACCCCTTCAGATAGACAGTGTAGACTCATAGCAATTCCTTTTCAACACCTATGGGTGTCTGATTCCTGCTGCAAATGGCTGACAGCCGGCTGTCAGATGGGATTAAGGAAAGCGTTACCTGTGTGCAGAAGCATAGAAGGCCAAAAAGAGCTGAGCTCTGTGAGCCGAGAATAATTCATCTTTCAGTAATGGCGAAAATGATGTTCGACCTGATCTGAGTTCACTCTTGCTCAGAATATTGGATCATTTACTATAGAAAGATGTGAGGCCCCGGTGTCACTCAACTGCACAGATCTTTTTTATTCATATTGGTGTGTAAACACAAAGGACAAAGATGGAAATCAATCAGACTTTTTGTGGGGTTTTTTCGAGGCAAAGTCTAACATGTTTTGTTTTTTTAATATATTAGAATATCGTCGATAAACCAAACAAAAAAGAACCGGCTAAATGTAGATAATTTGACATAATTTCAGAATTTTTCAATAAGTATGAATACATAATCCGGGTATCTCAAACAGGTGTTCAGCCTCGACAAACAGGAACAGGTGAGAGGACGAAATATGATCCAAGAGGTCCAGTTTGAATAATGCATCCATGAGCTTGAAGGCTAAACAGACGGCATGTTACAGGATGTTACAACTCTGTGAAGATAGCAACGGTTGTTGTATCCTCTGTCCTTATTTAACAGTAATTAGTATTGCGCGATATGACAAGATTATTGTTCAACACAATATTGGTTGTCCTGGATAATGGTGCTCACATACCCACAATAACAAAAACATATTCAATTATGCAACACCTGTGGTAATGGTTTCTCTGTGCTTCACCGCATTGTTGCAGCGTATCAGAAAGAGTAAAACATCTCAGCGTGTACGTAATTACCCATCGCGCCCTAACTCCAGCTGGAAAGATGCTCGCTCTTTGTTAGTAAAAAGAATGCAAATGCATCCATTGGTGATAATTTGGTTTTGAACCAAACTAAAAAGGAGAGCCAGTGACAGTAGTGATGTGCAAGCTGTGCTATAAACAAGTTAAAACTAAAGATGGAGAAACAAATCTCCACTACCATCTTAAAACTCACCATCCAACAGAGTCTCCGCCATCAGCCGGACTAAAACTCCCATCAACCTTCAATGTCCGGGACTTTTGCAAAGGCAAACAAAATAGACACGTGATAGTCAAACGGTGGATAATGAACATGTTAAACAGGTTATTGAATAAAAATAACCTCCCCAGTTGTTTTTCTTAAGGCAACATTGTGAGTAGGGGTATTTTAATATCGCCCAACCCTAACAGTAAAAAGTCATTTACAGTACAAAGAATGCGTGCTTGCATGTGACTGATTGGCCAGAGCAATGCTTTGCTAGATGAGGTTTTGCCAGATGACCCCGGGGTTTTTTGCCGTAGGCAGCTGCGTTGGCAGACCTGCTGTGACAAAATAGTGTACTAATTGAAATGAATTAGTGGGCTGCCCTTTTTATTCAGACTCAACACAGGCTATAATACTACAGCTCATAACAAAATAACTCCCGATATACATAAAGCATTACAAACTGATTTAAGACTGTGTAGGAGTATCTACTGTTTGGCTACATTTCTAATTAAGACCTCATTAAATCCTGTCATAAAACATTGAGTGTTATCTCATGTAAAAGCATGTACAAAACTCACATGCACACATTGCAGACACACACACACACACACGATCGATATAATTGGTAACTTCTCCCCGACCAGTCCATTCATCACACCGGAGGTCTTGATTTATTTTGTTTGACAGCGACAGTGCAGTGATTTTCCGTTTCCTCTCTGCCTCAGAGTTGAGTTGTGCTGAAGGAGACGGAGCAAAAAAACCTTTGCACCTGCCACTCTTCTGTCACAACAACCATATTCATCCAGGCAAATTCCTTTTATGATTATTTGCCTGTTGCCGTGTATCACATTTGTCGAAGTTGAAAAGATTTTACCAGAGCAATTATCTGATAACGAGTCAAATTCTCCCAGCCTATGCATTTTTTCTTTCCTTTAGGTGCTCTCACTCTTCAGCTGAGGAAATGATTTCAGAGAAGTGTGTGTGATAAGATGAGACGGAAACCTTGCGGGCATGACTAATGCTACTGAGTCTAATTAAGCTGATGTCTTGTACCCGCTGAATTAAATCACCCTGATATGATCTTGTCTGGCTGTGCATATATTTCCCTTTTAACTCTGATCACCTGGATATACGACCAGAGACAGAGAGCCTCGCGTGTGCATGAATCATCGCTGTGTATGTGGAGAACTTTCTATTATTATCTGTGCATCTGAAAATAAAATAATAATAACACTAACAGAATATAATAGGAGAGATAGAAAGTGTCTGAATCATGTGCCCTCTGAAAAATAAATGATTTGTTGCCATAACAGTTGCAGGAAGCTGTTCATGAGCAGGAAATTGACTCAATGATTTGTTTTCCATTATGAAATTTGCTCGCCCTCTAAATGTGATGAGATAGTGGGTTACATACAGGCCAGCTCACACAACTGCCACCAAAGTATTGTGATTCCCTGTAACCACTGCAACACACCCACCGAGAGTGAATGTATGACTTCGTTAAGCTCTCCGAAGGCTGCAACAGCTTGCCAGTAAAATGATTGTTAGTCTAGAGGAAGTGATGAATCAAAACAGGCCTGGGTTTGTCATTATCTATTAATACTCTGCCGCTCTCGTTCTGGAGTTCTAGAAACAGCCAGAACTCGGCACGTTCTCGCCTTCTCCCAAAGACTGAAAGATTTCCTCATGAAGATGGAGGGGAAAAGACAGCTCTTCAAAGTTTGCTCAGCTCGTGATTGATTTACTCATCCCTCCGTGGTCTGCCGCGTGCGCTGACAGCTCTGGAGGTGGAACAGTGTCAAGCGCCTTAATTGAGCCGAATGCGCGGAGCTTAAATGCTGCAGGCAGAAAACCCACACAATTAGGGAGGACTAATGACGCGGGGTACCACCCATTTTTTTCTCCAAATAACCCGCAGGGCTTTCCTTATTTAGTATCACTAAGTCTTAATTAGTGATTAGGAAAATGAAATGGAGCAGTGAGCCGAAACTGAGCGTTTTCACACAGGACATGTTTTGACACTTTCTGCATCTTTTGTTAAAAACATAAAAGTGGATTTATATAGGTCATTATTCAGATATGTGTTTGAAGATCTTATTTGTTGCTGCAATTTTTAATTAAAAAAAAAACATCTGTCTTTTCAGAGCCACGATGATATGCGTGTCATCCACAACAATCAACTGGGTAAGTCTTTTTTTTTTCTAATTTAAGCAGTAGGTAAGTAAGACACTGAAAAGAAGGAAATAATAAATGGGTATTGCTTTAGATTACAGCCCAGACATACAGTGTAAATATTCTGTGCATATGCGGTGCTAATGAAACCCTAACCCTAACCCTACTGAAGCTCAAGGAATAAGGAATAACACATTCTTATTGAGCAGGAACCCTGAATTAAAATACTTTTATAATCACCCAGTACATGATAATAACTGGGTACAGCTAGGAAACCAATGGGCTTAACCTTTGTGTCATTTTAGCAATAGCTATAATAGCTATGCCATGAAAAGGTGCCAGAAAACATATAAATAAGGTAATATTTACTTGACTGAAAGGGAGAATGTCTCTCCACATTATTCTTTATGCCGTGTGTTAAAGTTCTATTCAGGTTTAATGTCTTTACTGCTATCAGATTTGATCGCCAGATGATCATTATTCTAAAGACATACTGTTTTATAGCTACTGCTTTATAGATGCATCTCTCGTCCCAGGCTTTGTCTAATATTTTTCCCCCACTAACAATAATGTAGTCTACACCATGTTAATAACAGCAACAAAAAGCTTTTTTACAACATGTTAATTGTTAAGTAGAGTAAATGCTCTCTTTCTCACACAAAGTTATCTTTTCGTTTGGTAAACTGTACCCAGTGAGTATTTCACTGATATCACATATATACAAATTACATTATGATTTGCAGGCTGTAATATAATATGAATATTTATATTTATATCAATGAGATCGCTGCTGTCTTTGATAGTACCTGTTTTCATAGTGCGGGTCATGTTTTGCACTCTGTTATTGTGTTTGATGTTTGAATAAGTCTGCATCAGAGGAACTCATTCAAAGGGATGACCTTTTGCTATTACCGAATATTTTTCAGTTTTAACCGTGTGCTCAAAGGATTGAAATACACTATCACTTGATACAATCATGAATAGTAAATCTTGAAATGAAAAATGTTGGACAGGGTGACATTTGAATAGCACATGCTGATGAATGAAATTGTTGAAAGGGCTTTTGTGTGGTGCCTTCCTTGAAAAAGTAATCTTCCGAGTTCCTCAGACTTTTCCATAAAAATAGTCCCATCTCTTTTATCGATTTGACAGGAACCTAGAAATTTCATAAGTAGAGCAAATAAAAAGATGTCATGCATGCCTTCCATGCTCCAGGGGGCTCACACAATCACTATCTGAGAGTGATTTCCGTGAGCATGCAGAAGAGTTTGGAGCCAGTTTACTGGACCTCTGCCTGTTGTTCATTCAACTGGGTCACAGCAGAAGCAAAAGCACACAAAAGCAACTTCATAATGCTCTCATTTGGCACCTCGGCACAGAGAGGAAATACAAACAGACAGCCATCTGAAAAATGGAGCTTCACTATCTGGCACCGCCATAGTAATTCCCTTTGTCACGGCAGAAAGAAAAAAAAGAAAGCTACACACTCACCTGCAGAGAATATTGTTTGTTAGCAGGAATTCAGATCATGTATAAAGGAAAGTCTGGCTTTCTATCGTTGTAACAATACTGCATCAAAAGGAATAACTAGCTTGTTTATTTTAAAAGAACTGGTGACCTTTTGAAGGTATTGGAAGTCATGATTCGAACAATGTTACTTTAGAGGGAATGCAAATCTAAATGCTGTTTCAATGATGTCTGAATTAAATCAGGCATTATATTGAAGTTTGTACACACTACAAATCTACATGATCACGTTACAAGAAGCAGTGCGAGTCCTCTGGGCGTATTGTGCTGTAGTGTTTTTAACAATGTAACATCGTACATCTCAAAAACACGGATAGCTGGAACTTAGGAGAAGATCACCTACAGAAATGCCTCAGGAAAAGAGGTTGTTCAAATCAGCCGCGATATAAAGATGCATTATCTGCATTGTTAAAATATGAGTGCTATAAAATTGTTCTCCATCAGTGCCGTGGGCCCCAAGTCCCTACTGAATGTAACTTCATTTCACAATCAACAAATGTCTGTTTTCCACACATTGTATTGTAGCTTCACAGTTTGCAGCACAAATGTTAGCTGACAGGAGCATATTTCTTCAATTGGCCATTAAAATTTAGTTCATAAATGTAGAGATATTGCACTAAAATGCTTTCTTCTTCTTCTCTAAATCAATTTATATTAAAGTATCAAAAAAACGACGTTATATTCTGCTGTATCACGAAAAACAACAGACATCCTAATAACACAAATCTTGTCGGGCCTTCGGCTGTCTAGCCCGATTAATTCAGTCAATTCACTTCATTTTCAGACGAAGAAGAAGAAACATTACAACAGATAAAATGCCGTTTTATATGCAGTGGCCCAGCGGAGCAGTCGCAGTAACGAATGATAACGCATGTAAGGAACTTTTTCAATTAAACCTTTTATAGAAGTTATTTTACGATCATGTCCCGTGTTCTAACTTACTGCTCCTGCACACACGATGAAGTAATGCATTCGGACGGAAGTAGCTGTAAAGAAATTGAGGAAAAAGTCTAGTGTTATCCTGATTCAGACATTTTGATGTCTTGTCTGCCAGCTCAGCTGTTTCAGTAAGTAGATGTGAGACAATGATGCTCTTATCTCTTATGTGATGTCTAAAGGAGGCCGTTTTGACTGAAATCCAGTTGGCTTTTCACCCAGACCACAGTAATTACTTACTTTACTATTAAGCTGATTCTGTACCTTTCTTAAAATGTAGGCAATTTCCCCTCCGCATTTTAGTTAACAAGTCAGAAAAGCAGATATGCAAGTTTTGATCTGATATATAACAGTTGGCTGCCTCGTCATACATTTTTCTATTGCAAAAAGAAATGAAAAGTGAATACAGAGACCGTGAAGCCGGATTTGATCTCCTTACTTACTGTAAAGCCGCTTGTCTCTTCCGGTCATGGCCAGCATCCGTGTTTCCTGTGATTGTTGAACATTGTTGCAGATGTAGAAATATAACCTACCTCTTTCCCTTTTAAGGGAATACTACAGCAACAACATCAGATGTTCACCATTGAAGTTGTAGAAAAATAAACGACCTCAGGGTTTGGTTCTTTTATATGTGAGAGAAAGAAAAATGTTTCAGCATACAGCAGATACAAGGTACATCCACAAAAGCTTCGTTTTTTTCTTTTCTTTTTAAAGTATAGTGTTTAATAGTTTAGGGCGCAGGGCAACTCTGTACCACAAACAATGAATGGTATTGTTTGAGAGCAGAGAAGGTGTGCCAGAATTTAAATGAGATTATCACTATAACAATTATTGCGCCCAGGAAAGCAGTGCTCCTGTCCCCTCAGCAGTTGTATTGTATTCAGGAAGTGGCTCGGAGCCAGCTTCTTCAAACCCACGTGATACGCATTGTGTCTTTCCAGAAGGTACAATGTCCACAAGATGTTGACTGAACTCTTCCTGCATGCCAGCTAACACTGCAGGATTTTACTTTGTATTTACTTTGACTTATTTTCTGTTTCCAACCCTCTCATGTTTCCTGGCGACCGGCTGCACACCACCGCTATTGTTTCTGCTTTTCTTTCTTTTAATTTATTAATTCAGAAAATGTCACAAACGGCGCTGGCGTGTATTGATGTACGGAGTGTGCAATCACGTATCGTTAAAAAGAAAAAAAACAAGATCTGTTACTGAGGATGAAACTAACTTATTTTCAAGTGGTGTCTCATCCAATTTCCACTTTTATGGATAATGGGTTTCGTAAGCAAACGTGGAATCTGTTAAGCGTTAATTGCCCCGGCTTCCTGCATTATTGATGCTAAGTGAGGTTTAAGGGTTGAGTTCAGCTCTCATTAGTCTTCAGCAAAGTTGTCCATAGAGTCATGAACTCTGAAGAACCTCTAATGACTGTGTGATTATCACAGATGGGAGACGCTTTTCTCCAACCTTTACGTGTTGCATGTGCTGCGTGATTGTTTTGTGTGTGTGTGTTTTTTTTTTTTGCTTTACGACTTGGAGAGAATTGTAATGAGCTTACTTTTACATGAGAGAGTGACTTTTCCCCCTGATGGCTTTCGCCCTCATGCATACCTAGCACACACACACACACACACACACACACACACTTCCTCTCTTTCTTCTTTTGCAATCCTTGTGCATCTACCTATCTCTTTCTATTGGTTTGCATGCTCATCCTTTTCTGTCTGCCTCTCTCTGTTCTACTGAGAGATATTTATGACACTGACCTTTTCAGCAGTAAGCTGAAAGTTAAATACACCATGTTCTATATTGATCGCGTGCACGGCAATTCAAATTCTGTATTAATATGAGAAGAAGGCCGATAGCAAATCGTTTCACTTGCTGCAAGACACATAGGTCTCTGCCACACTAGATTATTGCCTATGGGGAAGGTAAATTCATGTTATACAGCTTAATCAAAGCACAAACAGCCTCATAAGCTGGCTGTATTGGATTTGGCAGCCTGGTCACCCAAAAATTATGTTCCCATACAAACAAAAAACTGCACTGTCGATAACGTTTCGAGGGAAGCTATTTATCTCCCAAATTTATGTTCGTTTTTGACGCATCACAAATACATTTTATATCCTCGTCTGCGGAACTTTGTACAGGGGGAAGGTCAGGGTGCATGGGTCAAACAAACACAGGACTTTTACCCAAGATGCCACTGTTTGTGTCCCAGGTGAAATTGGTTGACTTATTTGACTTAACTTAACTTGAATGACGAAACAAACTATTTTAAGCCAAACAATGATGTTTTACTTAACTTAACCAAGTTGCTTTTCTTGTCTTTGTTACATATTTGTTTCGATTTCAATGGTAACCCTGTGTTTAAAACTGCGGCCCCAATGCAGGAGACAATAAACGTAATCGAAAAAGCAGTTCCGTTGTCTGGAAACATAATTTTCGAGGAGACGGGGTTGAATTTGGCCTTCCAGATTGAATATCACCGGATGTCTGTGGATTGGCTATTACACCCTGGTGCTGTGTGGTGTGACGGTCGTGGTTAGTTTGGTCAGGAAACTGCAATCCAATTCCCTTCGGTGTAGTATGTCTCTTGGATGGGCCGGATTGGACGTGAGAAAGAGAGAGACGAAGGGGATTTTTTTAGGAGTAAGGATGATTCTTGGCCATCTTGTCACTGGGAGTGCAATAATGTGAGTCACTGGAGTGTAGCAGGTTTTACACCGGCACAGTCAGCTGCTGCTGGGTGAGGAAGCCAGGCCCGTCGACTATGGAAATGAGCTATTGACATCCTCTGTCATCTCTGAATATCTGCTGGCAATGAAGAGCTCTGGATCTGGTCGTGACAGTTTCATTGTTCCCACAACAGCGTAATGGCCCCACTCGCCGAATCTTATCCCTCTCTACTTTTGCAGACGTTTGTCATTGAAATTGCACTATGGATCTGCTGTCCCTCCTCACACTCCTCCTTTTTCTTTGAGAATTCTCAACTAGATTCAAACGCCGCTCTCCCAAACTTACCCACGCATTCATTTGTGCACGCTCACTTCCGGGTTGCCATGTCAAGGAGGTGTGTTTTCTTTCAGCCTGGAGGTACTCCAGGCTGAAAGAAAACATTCCTGTGACAGCCCTGGTGACCAAACACACCTGCTCCGTGACACTGATGGAGATGACAGAGCTCCTGGAGTGCCTAGTCGTCAGTGTGCTCTCAGCTCCTCTGCCACTTGGCAATGTCTGCCATCCCGCTCTAAGGAAGTGTCACTATTGATTTGTGTCAATGAGGTGACAACACTGCGGGGGCCAAGCCACTGCGAGAGCTGCATTCAAGTGCAGATGTTTACTTCAACCTCCCGTGTGCATGCACACGCCAAGAAGTACAAACACATTTTATTTTATCCTCCTCGGTTCTTTCATCAGTCTGATCCTCTGCCCTCTCGTATGCAGAGAGGCCTTCAGATGGTGATGGCCTTTAAAGGGTGGCTCCGTGCACTGAGAAAATTATCAGATCAGGGAGAGAATGAGCCAGAATTCTCCCGTGTCTCATTTCGTCCAATATATTTCAAGGCTGATACAGTCTTTCTTTTCTCCGGCGTGGCCCCTGTGGAATACTGAATGAGTGAGGGGAGACAAACGAACACTAGTCTCATGCTTTGTAGTTCCATCAGCCTGGCAAAATAGAATAATCTGTTCCAAGGTGATAGGGGCTTTGGCTTCATCTTCCCAGTAACCTTCAATCTCTTTCATTCGAAGCATATAATTTTCAGCCAAGAGGCATCCTTGGAAAATTTCACTTAACCACCAAAAAAAAGAAAAGGAGCTTTGTGGCGTGTTTGGCACAAGGCTGCTGCTTCACATCTTTGCCGTACTATTAAACAGATGAATTAAATGCATACTTTCACCTCTGGGAATACTGCTATTGATAAAACTAGTTAATACTGCTGGTACTAATATCATTAATCTAATGAGGCTGCTTTCTGTTTTGATGGCCCTAAACTGTAGATCTTAGAACAGCAAACTCCCGTGGAAGTTATAAAAATAAATTAAAGAACCATCTTTTTTACTTGGCTTTTAATTCGGTTTGACTTTAATGGTATCATTGTTTGTTTTGTTGTATTGGGATTTTATTGTGATATTGTTGTTGCTTTGGGCTTTAATGTGCTGTACGAGTAAAGTTATTAACCATGCACAAATTCAAAAACACCTTGTCAAGCCCCCAGAGTCACCCTCACAACCATTGCAATGACCACAAACACCTGGAAAACCTCCATATCTGAATAAAAAAACTAAACTAAACTTTTGTTTTTGTGTCTATATATGTACTTTTTTATGACAATGTTTAGTCCCCCTAACGTGTTGTAAACTTGTTATAATTGTCAATCAAGTTGGTAAAAGAAAAAGAAAGGAGGGAGAGAACATCGTGAAGGAGCAGCTGCTATAGGACTCTGGGCTATGGTTGAAAATCCTAAGAAGTATCCAAGAAAGGTTTCTGGAGTGGCTTCTCCAGATAAACAAAAACTTGGCATTCAGAGAAAGGATTGAAGTAAAAAAAGTTATCGACGGCGAGGACAAACACTAATCACATGGGGAATGCAGCGAGCTCACCTGCAGGCATACGTCATTAACCGGCGTTTGTGTAATTACTCTCAATGCCTGACGGGGAAGACAAACGTTCTGCACCCCAGCTTCAAAAAACGACTAGACAAAGTGTAAAAACCACAAAATGTAGTTTTTTTTTTAAACCATGCTTTTTAAATATGTATGCCAATGTAGCTTCTCTTACACATTGCATGACACTGTCCCATATAGTCGAGGTGCAAACACAGCAAAGTAATCTCTGGTGTACTGCCTTGCCCTTGGAACAGTCAGAAATCCCTGTTCTGATGGTGTGAAACACCTCCCATGGGACACATGGCACAAAAACAAAGACCCCACAACCATGAACAATAGTAACACCCTAGCGGCTACATCAAAAGCCCAAGCCTGGCCACCTCCCAGCACCTTAACGTCCTCCTATAACGCCCTCGCAATGCCTGAAGTTCGCTTCTCAGGCCACAGGCATCCTTTGATAATCTCACCAATCCACTAAAAAAAGTGTTACGTAGCATCCTTGGCACCAAAGGCGTTGTTTTAAATCTTTGCCCTATAATTAAATACAGGTAGATGTATTGATGGCACACTGGCTGCCCTGAGTGTCGAGAGGGTGCATAAAGGGGATTTTTACCTGATAGGAGGACACAGGAATGATGGAGGTGAAGGAAGACGTTGTAACGGGATTTTTTTCCTTCTCTCCCCGTTGTTTGAAGATTAATCGAAACCCATTAGTGTGGAGACGAGGCCAGTGAATTCAGTCTTAATTAGTTTCTTTTCTTTTTTTTTTTTTTTCCCCCCCCCCCCCAACTCTCCTTTGCATTGACATAGGGGATGTGCATTATCTGCACAATGAGGGATTGGAAACCTGCTTATCTGATTTTGCTGTTAGTCTCATGCAGCTGGCATTATTGCTGAACTGTGCAGTATCAGGAGGCTGGTACCACACCTGGGGCTTTAAAATGCACTGCTTTATGCGAAACCATATGCACACACACGTACGCACACACACACACACATGCATAGTCAGTCATTTAGCAAACTCAGCAGAAGGACATTTAGAGGTGGTGTAGTGTGTATTCACTCTCTAAGCTCAGCTCTCGACGGGGGTTAGATCTGTTGGGAGATGGACATGTTGAGATTTAGAAAGTACCCCCCCCCCCCCCTCACCAGGGCTCCAGGATCAATGGGATCTTTGTTATGAGCAGGGCAAAGGAGCGACACACCCACCACCACTTAATTAAAAAGATCGGACACAGATACTGTACTCTGACACAGCGTCTACCCCCGACCCCGCTGCTAATATCTGAACCCACGGAATAGGTTCAAGCAGCGTAATCGAGGAGGAGGCAATCCATCTAATCCTGCCATTATCAGCACTCGTCCGTCCCCTCGTCCCTTGCATTGCTTCCACTGGGAAGATTATAGACCTGTCGGCAGTGTCTGTTACTTATTTATGTTTTGGAACACTAAATTACACTTAGTCAGCAAAATTTGCAGAGCTTCATGGGAAAAGGTCGATCTAATCATAATTCATGACATGGTATGCCCTTAATGACTATATTCTGTATAAATACTTAAGCAGCTAATTAAAATGTCTGAAGCAAGGGCGAATAATTTGGAACAAAGCTCGTTATGTTTGTCACAAAGAATCTCAGCACATCTCATTACCGGGAAGTTTCTGAGCTGCCTGTCACAGCAGGAAAAAAAACCTCCTACATCTCCTCTGCTTTTCTTCGTACCTCGTGTTGGTTCCCACCTCTCGGCTTTAAATTCTTGAAAAGCCTTTTTTGTTGTCACAGTCATTCCAGCCAGGTGCTGCGGACTTTATGTGAGGGACAGCGTACAGGATTTGGCAGTTGTCAAATGTAATTGTACTGAGCCAAAGACAAAATGACAGGATTTTTTTTTATTTTTTTTTTCATTCTCTCCTCCTCTCCCCCCTCCGGTGCTTTGGTCTAGTTTTGATTGTACTGGTCGTGAGAGCCCCAGGGTTTATGTGGACGTGTTTGTGCAGCCAATGTCATTCTTCACTGAGCTGTGTCACTGTTACATCCCTTTGAATGGATTTCACGTGAAGAGGAACTGCAGCAAGCTGGGTCAATGACAGCGATGGTGTCTTAACATGTCGTGAGCGTTGAAGTAGCCCGCGTTAGCAGCTTTTTAAACCGACATTGTTGAGCAAGTGGCTCCCTGTTAACCTTGGCCTTAACGTGCAGTAACAATGCCGGGTTTTACTGCCGGTGCAGTTGTGACGCTCAGTCAGAAGTGGACAGCTGGGCTGTGTCAACCTTTTGGGGCGTTACTGCACCTCAGAGGAAGACTCTTCTGACTGCTAATCTTTTTTTAAGTAACACAGACTTGGCTGTGACATTTATAAACTCTCCCCGAGCCAATTAAGCTCTTGATGCGCTGGTTATTATCACCAGGCCAATAATGGAGATGAGCGAAACCACCTCAGTTATTCAGACTTGTCTTATCTTGTCTTGCACTCAAAAGGTCATCGATTGATCGTGATCCTTTTTTTCACAGTCTGTGAGCAGTCTCACATCTCAGTCCTTTGTGTTCCTCCAGACCTGCGGGAGATAGTGTTTGTCATCCAGAGTCAAAGCAACTCCTTCCATGTGAGGCAGGCGGAAAGACGGAGAGCAGACTTACTGAAGCAGGCACACAGTCTCGCAGAGGTAAGAGTCAAGACACCTTCCACTCATACACACAAGCTCTTATTTTGGAAGAGGAAGAGCACATGAAAGCTCAACATACGTTTCTGAAGATATATGTAGCTAACGATCATCACTAGCAGCAAAAGTAGCGTCTGAATATGAGTTGTTGTTGCAAGCTGTAGCATTTCTTTGATTGGAAATGTATTTTCATACATTCACTACTACCCAATACTGATCATTTCAAATATGGAACGATAGTTTGAAGAATTATTCATGACAGCCTCTATATTAAACCTCTTACGTCCACAATATGAAAGTGTAGTTTGTGGAAATATGCATGTATTTAGGACATCCTGACATTTGTGCAGCTTTGATGTTCAGATATATCACTCTTATCAGCAAATCAACCTTCCATCCCCGGCCTCTTGTAGGTACATTTTTAATGAGCAGTGATGATTATCCGAAGGCATACTGTCATCTTAATAAATGTTGTAATTCCCAAACAGCTGCAGGAAAGAAAACCTTTGTTTTCTCCTGGGACCGTCGGCTCAGTATTTGGTGCAATTTGTAAAGACATCAGCATCATGTCAGAGGAAGACACAGAGCACATTTACAGGTCGAAATGCCAATTTACTTCTGTTCGTTAAATCTCTTCAGAGCCAAATGAAATGGGGTGAAATATACGAGTAGCATTCCGTTTGGTTAAGTAGTGAACGCAGCATCCCTAATGACAATGTTACAGTAAATTAGATGAAGGAACTGCTCGCTGTGTTTGCTGTAGCAAGAGACTCATTTAGATTTGGGTTTATTCTTCTGTGCTCTTGCGTTCGTCGTTGTTTTTGTGTTTGTCTCAGTCTCCACTACTGCTGGATGTCACACACCTTTTACCTTCACCACTGACTCACTGTACAAAACTGAAAAATATATAAATAATCACTTTGAGTCATTATTTCTCTGTTTATTGTTGTTTTTGTTGTTTGAAAAAGACTTAGTATCACACAGCATTTAAATATCTTGCTACAACAACACTGACATCCTTTACTTCACCTTCAGCAATACAAAGTCCAAAATACATTTATTATTTCAATCTTATCAGTGAAATTTGTTCACAATTTGGAAAGATTGTTTCATGTTCCCTGTAATGAATAGTGGCATCAGTCTGTGCCAGTGGATGGTATGTATCAGGAACGGATTCAGTTCCACTAATGGACGTCACATTTTACAAGAAGAGACAGACTTTATAAATTCCACATCACGTTGTGTTTGCATTCATGATCCCAGAGATGTCTGGCGATTTAGTTTCTGTTGCATGCAATTACACAAACTAAGTCCAGGGAGAGAATTTTAATCAGCGACTTCTCAAAGAGGCAGTAAAGGCTTGACAGCTTTTCAAAGAGATATAAGACCCACAGACTTGTGATCAGAATGAGTTACCTTCACAGAATCAGAGTGAAAATTCCTTTCGCCTCAGGTGGACACGCTGTAGAGAGCACTCACACAGTGCGTCACGTACCTCCACCACGGTCTTCAGAAAAACACGATTTATCTTTTGATAACAGAAAATGTCAAAAATGTCATTTGAATTTGGATTCAGATCTGTATAGAAGAGGATTTAATGGAATACCAAGTGGAAAAGAGAAAATACAAAAGAGAGGAATGAAAATGAAAAGCAGAGATTAATCCAATTGACTGATGTGTTTATTTAACTTTTCTATTATTACAATTCAAACACTTGCATTTAAGCTTTAATATAGTTTACTCCTTGTTTATTGATTATCCTGGCTAGTATTTTGTTGTTGTTTTTTTCATTTAAAGCTTTCATTCATTTTTTAGTTTTATAATTTTTGATTCAAATAGGAACAGGATTTTATGAAAATCACGTCAGAAATAAACAAACAATGTTAAACAATCATGGATCCACACCAAGAGCTGGCTTGTTTCTTAGACCGTGACCCAACTGAACACAATACTTCATTAACATCTGTTTTTAAGATCCATAACTGTCTTTTCAGTTGTAAATATATTTAAAACTGACAGCAAAGTAGCTTTGAAACTAAGATTGGTAAATACCAGCCCTCATGAAAACTGTGTCGGGATTATGGCGTACTGTAATGCAAAATGTAAAACAAAAGCTAAATACTTTAGTAACATTAGTATACACTGTAGAAAACATGTAAACTCTCCAATTCGCCATCCACCACTTCACTGCCACCTCAGAGGCACAACACACACGCGCGCACACACACACACCTATAATTCAGCTGTTTAACAATCACAGAGGGTGTTGGTGGGATACTGAAGGAAAAAGATCAAAGCCAAATAATACAAGAGATTAGCTTAGTTTGGAGCCGTTAAACATGTTTGATGCACAGTATCGTGTGGTGCATTGCCACAGAAAGCTTTGAGCAAAACCCTTGCCTTGAAAATATCTTGGAATCAGAAAGACAGTGGAGTCTTTGGAGAACTGAAATAACCTTTGATTTCTAGTCCTACACTCCAGACACACGGTTCAGGTTTTGTTTAAACTCTTATCATCCAGTTGTATTTGGACTTTATTTTCTGTAGGTCAGGGAAAAAAACGGAATAAAAAGCACCAGCATTGTGGTGAAAAGCATTGTGATACAAAAATGCTTTCTTTAAAGCTTCTTAAGCGATTTGAGGCTGACTTAGTGTCACTGAATCGCTGCACTTTCTGGCCAACATAAATGATAAATTGAAGATTTATGACCCGATCGCTGCACCGCCGAGACGGGAAACACATGTACAATCTGTTTTTCTATCTCCGAGCCTTTTTCCTCCTCCTCCTGACTGTGGAAGGTTCTGTGATATCCACAGATTTACACAGGCAGGAACTTGTGTATTCTATGTGGCGGCTCTCAGCCCATTTACCTACAGTTTGGCACCGTGTCTCCTGGGAGGAATTCACATTGCATTTATACAGTGTTTGTGTCGTTTAGCCGATGTTCATGTCCGCCGAGACGCACACGTACAACAGAATGAGATTATACTCAGAGACCTTGGACACATGGTGTGGTAAAAACACACCATGTGTCCAAAAGCTTTCTCATGCATCACCTATTATCTTAACAATGTTTTGCATCTGAGGTGCCACTGGGATGAAACTATTTTAATATGGATCCCTGTTCTGCAGTCTGTGATTTGGCCCTTGTTGACATCAACAATGTCATATTTGACGGCATTTCATCACTGAAGTGGTTTTGACAGACAGTCTCCCCTCCAGCCCCTCCTCGGGATAAAAGCATATAGCTTCCTGTCCCTCCATTACAACCAGGTCTAAGTGACCCCTATCTTCTCCCAAGTCACCAAGCAATCAGTGTTCTTTTCATTGCAAGCATGTCCACATGAGGCCCTCTTATCTGTTTCGGAGTCAGCAGCTTGCACACAGTCTCCTCTTATTGAACGCTTCCTTCATCCCAGGAATGTCAATAGCTCTATGAAGCAAAAGCTTTGTTTTTGTGATTGCATTATTAGCTGAAGATGATGCTTTATTTATTTTTTTTAACTTTTTATATAACTGCGATGATGTGAAAGTCAAAGACAGAGCCGTTTAATAAAAGAAGTTAGGCGTTATTGTGCCATTAGCTTTAATATAAAGCTCATATTAGATGAGAGCTAACTGACTAATAGGGTGTAATAAGGGTAAACATTGTCAGACCCATCCCCTAAATCAAACAGGCTGCTGTTAGACAGACCCCTCTGACTTCATGCATGATGAGTGGACCACGCAGTAATGAACCACAGGGTCTTACGCTCTGCTGCTTTGTTTTGCTCACAGTGTGAAACATTGGCTCTCTCAGACAATACTCGCACACCTACTCGCCGTCCACACCACGGAACATTTTGCTGAAACAGATTGTTCTTATGTGGACGTGATTGTGTGTACTGACCACATCCTGAAATATCCTCTGCTTATTCCCATTAATATCTTATGTCTGACAGTGTATTGCATAGTGTGAGGGCAAACAAGAGCAGCTACCCTGAAGGCAAAATTTGGTTTTAGGGATAATACCAGTTTGTTTACTAGCTTTATCTCCTTAAAAGATAAGATTGTAATTATTCTACATTTTGTTATTGTCAACCAATGACATGGAAAGATCAAAACAAACAAACCCTAAGGAAAGCCAAGGTCAGACTACACATTATGAGCATGATAAAGCCCGACCGTCCAGACGCCGGGGATGAAATTGAGGTAAATGTGTGATTTGTAATATTTGGCTATATACTGTAAATAAAATGGACTTTATTGGAAATGAGCTCTCGGGTGCAACGATTGCTCATCTTACTATGTGTAGCGTGTCCTAGTGAAAGACAACGGCCGTCCCAACAAAAAGACTGAACAGCGTCTACAATGTGTTCTGTGACATCGGCCTGCAGGCAAAGCAAGAATGATTATGCCTGCTGTTGATGGTACTATGATTGGTATGGTACTACTTCATACCTAATTTTGTACCTTAAAATCTGACTTTTCAAAATAAGGTAGTACGGGTTATTCTTAATCTTCCCATGAGACTCACCTTGTCCTTTCTCACTTTAAGAGGCTTAGGTGGTTGACATTTCAGAACAGAGTCTCTCAGATCAGGCACATTGGATCGAGCATTGTGTTGTCCCTCAACACCTAAACATATTTCATACAGGAGAGCAATATCTGCAGCTTTTCCACCAAGGGCAGTTCTGTATGTAGTGTGTGCTGCGCTGACTGGAAAGAAAAAAAGGTAGAGCCTACTATCACTGGCAATGAACGATGAATTATTGCAGGTTCACTGTCATTCATAAAGGTGTGTTTACATATGTAAACATGTATCGTTTAGTTAAGTATAATAGTTAAGTAGTTTCCATGCAAGGTGGATTCATGGTAATAATGGAACATGTCAATGCACATGTCTGTGGCACATCAGACAATCCATGCTTGTACTACAAATATATTGTTGGTTTTGGTCTTTTCATGGGATTTGTGGATGACTTGCAACCTTATAGTCTGTGTTCATTGTTGTCAACATTACACAATATTGCTGTGAGGTCAAGCAGCGCAGATTGTTCACATTGCATTACCATGCAGTGATAATGTATCATTAACAAAAATAAGGGCAGACATGATGTTCACTGAGATGGATTGAACAACTAAAGTTAGATTTAGCGGTCAAGACTCTGCCAATAGATTTTCATATCTTACAGACAGGAATAGAAGACTCTTGGCTGCGTAGAGTGGTCGAGAAATATGTTCAAAAATGTGAAACAAACCAGCCTGGATTGCAGAATGGTTGGATTTAATATGGAGTTTAATTATGTCCTTTGCAGTAAATGGGCTAAAACTAAAAGTCTCTTTTAAGTAACAGACGAAAGGTCAATGCTTAAATCTTGACCATGCCTGTCCCCGTTAGAGGACAGTCTTCAACACCAGCGCACCCTCGGGTCCTTTGTTGAAGAAAAGCTGCTTTAACTGTCTTAGGCTTTGTGTAGCTGTTGTTCAGTTAATAAACTAAGCTGTATCTCTGTTTTTGTGTGGTGTTTCTTTCAGAAGCCACCGGTGGTTTTGCTCTCTCACACTTTATCAGATAGCGAAGGAGATTGGAGTATCCTTCCCCTGCTGCCTAAGTAAGTATCCCTGAACTCTCGGGACTCAGTGCGCATGTCATTAACCAAAGATTTCAGGGTTCCAAATGAGAACAAAATGTCAGACACATTGTGTCTTACAGAGTTGAGATTTTGGAGGTTATATTTTGGTTTTGAGGACAGTTTGTTAGCCACATTGGAAGGCTACGAATTGCTGAGAAGCAATTACCGACACAATAACTGTGATCGATTGCCTCGCATTATAACAAATGCCTTCGTAATGTGTATATAACTGCAACAATAAGCCTCTTGCTGCAGTAATCCAGTGGTCTGAACAGCACGATAACGACGTTAGCTACGGTCGTCTACATGCTCGGGCCTTCTCAAAAACCCAATATGTGTTCAATAATTGTTTTGAGGAGATGTGGAATAACTTCCTCCATCATGAAGATTTCAGACATAAATCACCAGAAGCACCCGAAATCACTACAGAGCAGCCCTCGCTGAAAGAAGTCTGTGTGCTTTTGAAGTTTTCTGTCTGTCTGCCCTCCAGGGAGAACTGTGTGGCTGCCTTGATCCGACTGGGTCAAGAGCCTCAGTTGGTTATAGTTCCCCAGACTGGACTGAAATAACAAAAACTGCTTTGTGTAGTTTTTTGTCTGTGCATGGCAGTGTTCCATTTATTCTTGTTTTATTATTTAACTCTTCTTTTTTTTTTTTTTTTCAGCTTATCGTACTCCTTCAGGAAAAACTCATCATGGATTGTATTTCTCGAGGAGGAAACAAACGTGAAGATGACTAAGCTGCTTCAAGTCCTTGCAAAATTTAACGAGAATAAAGTAAGTATACAATATTCTCTCTCTCTCTGCCTGTCTTTGCAGCGCTGTCTCTCTGTGCCAAATTCATCAGCAAGACCAAAGCCTCCCATTCCGAGCTCCAGCTTAGTTGATCATCGGTTCAATTAAGAGATACAGTATCAGTTTGGCTTCGCTGCAGCTGCTGAGCTGCACTGAGCTCTGCCAGCTCGCATTGTAACCTGTCACACATGTCACTCCGTTCTCCACTGTAGAGCTAATCTAAGCTCTGTCTCTCCACTCATGAAATTATTTTTCATGTATATGGGTCAGTGGCACAGGTCGAATATATAAACGCTGGAGTCAGACTGCAGACTACATTGGGGTTGTAATAAAAATTTAGCAAAATTGTTCCGCATCAATAATTTGTCGGGCTTATGAATTTTTTAAATATTCCAAATAACTGCCGCATTTTTATGTTTTTTTTTTTGTGCCATTTGTTCTTGTTGACAAGCCTTCACAGCACAAGTGTGAGTTGGCTTTCAAGTGAAACAGGGCCAAAACTGATGTTGATTACACTATAGGGGAAAACAAAGTTGTTTTTATCAGCAAATGCTTAGGTTTGCTTTGATCTCTTTCAGTAAAATTCCACACAATGAATGGAAACCTTATTCATTGTCATCTTGGACTATTTATATCCTGCATTGGTGTATCACTTCCAAGTCAGAGGTGGAATTAAATAGAGTTCAGGGGGAGGCTGGGGTCATGTGCTATGGTGAGTGCTTAGCTTGTGATGGCAGTGTCAATGGAGGTTGGGAGCAGAGAGAGAACAATGGTTTTAGAGGCATTGTGTGTGATTTTGAGGACGGTGAGCATGGTGAAGTTACATGTGGAAGTGTCAAAAGTGTGAGTTCTAAAGGGCGGACCCAATAGCAGGACCACTGACATGCATAAACAAAGGCAGGCGACCTCACACTGACACAGAGAAACACACACGCTAAATACACAATAGGCTAATCAACTAATGACACACAGGTGTGGTGCAAGAGGCAGGGAATTTCAAAATACAACAGGAAATGAACAAAACAAAACCCAAGACCGTGACAGTAGAGGACAATGGGTTCTGTGATGCTCTTGTACACAAGGAGCAGAAGGTGGGACGGAGAGCCTCTGTTGGTAGCGTTTGTGGATGTAGGTAGTGTGATGATCAAAGGTGAGTTCATTGCCAAAGGACAAGAGTATTCATTATCGTGTGATTATCTTCAACCTTATCCTGAGGAGAAGGAGACGATGGATACAACGTTTTATGATTTGATTCATTCCAACACGCCCGAAAGCAAAGACTTCTCTCTCAGGTGTTACAGGTCAGTGTGGTCAACCGTGTGCTGGAATAAGCAATACAAAAACACCTCTCAGTATAAAGCTATGCAATTGAACAGCTCCACAAACAGCAGCTTCCACCATGACCATGAAGTTGAATGAACACCTCTGTAAAACAGTTTCAACAAAAACTGAACTCTCAACCTGTATTAACAGTGCGGCTGTTGTATTAGACTGTTGTTGCTGGATGTTTCGAATATGCTGGCAACCACGTCAGTGTCTTGAATAAAATATTTCAAATTACTTCAAAAGCTCACGTAACTTCCATCAAAACAATAATGTGATATTCTGGCGGAGAGTTAGATGAGAAGATCGATACAGCTCTCATATCTGTGCTGTGAAGAGGAAGTTAAAGACAGCAGCTGGTTAGCTTAGCTTAGCACAAAGACTGGAAATGGGG